TTTAGTTACTTAGTTTTTATTGTTGATATCTATTAAGTACAGGTTTCCCTTGCTTTATGCGGGTTCTTTATGTGCAAATTCGCTCTTATGCAATGACCCTTTTTATACCAAAAATTCGTTATATGCGAGGTAGATTCACTCTTATGCAATTGGTGTGGTGGAAGTCCGCAGTCAGCTACTTTGTGCAGTGCATTGTGGGAGTGACATGCGCGAAAATATAGTCTCCTGTGTGGATCTGTGCTCCTCACTCATTGTCTGCAACATGTGTTTCTGTAGTTGACATCTCCATTATGGTAAGATTCACCACCACCCTGTGCTTGTGTGTACTGTCTGCTGTTGATGAGTACCAAAATTGTCTTGTAAAAGTGGTAGAAATGGGTCTGGGGGGCAGTACAGTTGGGTAGTGGAATATATCCTTATTTGTTACATTGTAAAGGGGGTTCCCTTTGCGTGAATTTGAGTTATGCGCCATTTTTCAGGAACATATGCACAGCATAAAGCAAGGGAAACCTGTACTATGTCAAGTGCTTATATGTATACCATAGTCTTATCACTTAAACAATGTACTACTTTAATGGGAGAAGCAAATGATGGAACATAAAGCTGTGCCACAAATTAACTTTATAGTTATACTGTGATCCTAGTCCCAAACTGCTCCACACCAATTTCTTTGTATCCATTGGAAACCCTGTTCAATGTACCACTTCGGTAAGGGAAATTGTAGAAACCTCTTAAAAGAGAATATTGTATAGTGGTTTGTGATAAGAAAGAGAGAATGCCATAACTTTAGGCCAGTAATTCTCAAACAGGGTACCATGGCACACTGGGGTGCATTGAGGTTCTTTCAAGGGTACTGTGGGGCGTCACAAGATTTTTATTATTATTGTGGGGTGTCACACTATTATTATTAGGTTTACAAATGTGATTCACAAAATAAGCCCAGAGTTTTCAAATGGAAATCCTCTGTAGTGGTCTTTCTTATTCTTAGCAACAGAAAAACTGCTCTATTATTTTTCTTTTGGTCAAAAAAGAGTGAAAACTAAGAGCTGGCACTTTCCAAGAGGTGCCTTGAGCTTAAAAAGGTTGAGAAACATTGCTTTAAGCAGTACAGTAAATGGAACATTTTTTAACTGTTCTTTTCAAATAGTAGGAACTGAAGTTTCAACCACATGTCTACAAGCATACAGAGATCACATACCATATCAAATACAGTTACAGCCTCATGCAGGTTGCTGATCCTGTCTCTTGTGTTTCCTGTCTTGTGGGTACAGAAATAATATGCATAAAATTGATTTACAGATCTCCATCAGGGTGCCTGTTTAGAAATTAATTATTAAGCTCCTCTTCCCTGAAATGATACCTAAAAATGAAAGAAATTCAGTTCTGCAGTAGCTAATTCCAAGCCAACAGGAACACTGAGAGCAGGACAGATCTGGTATGAAAGAAGGGAGAATTTCAATGAACTCTTTCTTAAATCATTTTAACCTGGAAGAGCTACATGATTTATTCAAATTCCTGTAGCAGGTAGACCTGAGTATCTTTCACTTTGTGTAATCATTCTGCTAAGTGGGGCTGGTGGAGTCACCTCGGAGAGAGCTTCTGTTGATCTAGTTTTTGGAGTGCTCTTCTCTTTCTGCCTGACCAACAATTTGTTTGTCTCCTGTTTTGAGACTGAGATTGTTTTATTGTACTGAACCTTCAACTTCGTGTTACCTGTTGAGTCACTGGTGTCTTCAAGGGTCTCTTGTTAGTGTTTGCATTGCAATAGTACTTACAAGGTCTGTCACTGCTGCACGAAACATTGTATGCATGTGCAGCAAAAAGACAGTTCCTGCCTTAGTGATGACAGTCTTCATATAAAATAAGATGCAGGGGGATTTAGCATTTATCCAGGTTAGCCCTTCCTTCTTGACTTTGTACAAAGAGGCATAGATTGAAGATAAGTTATCATCAAGCACCCAAATGATTTTTCTTTCAGCTGTGAAAAGTTATATGGTTAAGAGTCAAATCCAATCTTCCCTTGACTTTCTGCCACCAGGATTTCTCATTAATCCTCTGTTTTACCATGTAATTAGATTCATATTTCAAACCTGTGTTTAAAGGTAAGTCCCTTTACTGCTAACTGAAGCCTCAGTGGGTCCTACAGTCTGCATAATGTTAATGAAGCCCTGATCACTTCCCCCAGGCGCTGAATTTGGCTGCAAGTCTTTCTTTCTTTGTAGTTTAAGTTTCATCTTGCAGGAAATTTAGCAGCTGGTACAGATTTGCTATGCAAAGGACCTAGGAGGCTTCTTAAGTCCTGTAAATGTAGTGCTGATCAAATATATGCTGGCCTTCAGCCCAGGACTAAATACTCATAGGACAGGTATAGTATGCACCAAAGCTGCAGATTTGCACAATGCTCCACTGGTCTGCCATAGTCCTGAACTAGAAAGGAGGATACTTAGAATCATTTTGCTTGGAGGGGAGGAGGAAAGAAAGGGAGAAAAGAATCTTGGTCCTTCTCTCTGTGTCCCTTAGCAGCTGCTACTCCCCTCCCATACCCTGCTTGTATATGTGTTTTGCATCTCTTGTCTACATCTATCTCCTGATGGGTTCTCATCCAGGCAGAGAGATGAATAATCCCCTGCTGCTTCAAGGCAAATTTAGCCTTTTTTCCCCAGATACATAACACCTGTTCCATAGGCGTTGAGTACATGGGGGCCCAAGGGCCCTGGCCCCTCTTGGGAAGAGGGTAGGGTGACCACCCATCCCTAACTGGGTGGGACAGTCCCGAAATAGGAACATTAAGTCCTGGTCCCAGGCTGCATGACCCTGAGACAGCATTTGTCCCAGATTCACAATATCAGGCAGGGATCTGGGTTTTCTGTTCGCTGCAAAAAAAATACAGGAAATGGTGGGTTTCCCCTTGCAGGCTGGCAGCGTTCAAGCCTGCAAGGGGCTGTGGGGAGCAGGATGTAGGGGGTTGCCACATATTTGTGTGTTTGCACACATGCGGTAGTGGCCAGGAATACAGCCCCAGGCAGCAGTGGAGAGTACCTCCCCCAGCTGCCTGCAGGTAGGTCAGGGGGAAGGGCAGATCGAGGCTCCCATGGTTACATTGCAGTAATTATCACGCTTCAGCACACCGATTAAACTGTAATTACAGCACATCAGAGTAGTCTTACTGCACGTGTATAGGCACCCTCTATTACAGTGCTTACTTTCTTGCAGAGGGGCCAGGCAGTAGAAGTGGGGGATCTGCCAGGCAAGGACAAGCCTGACCCTGCACTTACCTGCTTATCGCCTCATACATTGATGCACCCTTCAAAGGATCTCATAACACTGTGGTTGAGAATCACTGGGCTATGGTGACCCATTTATTTTGACATTCGAACACATACAGATTAGGTTATAGTTGATGAGAAGTTGTGGTCTTATCCCTTTTTCCACACCAAACTACATCTGTCCTGTGGTGGATAAAATAAACTGTGTATAAGCATTTGAGCTTTCTGAAATTATTCTGGTAATAGATTAGATTCAGTAGAAATTTGAAAGATGACAAAGCTCTTGAATGTTTTAGAGAAACCTTAGAAGTGTAGACCAGTAGTTTCCTATACCTGGCTGACTTAAAGGGAACTGAAAAATAAAAATGGCTAAAGCAACGAAAGTGTTCAGAGTTTATAAATAGAAAATCCTGAGGTACATCTAGGGGAAACCCACTTAGATGTACTTAAGCAAATCTAACCTTGAAGCAGCCACAAGAGTGAGTAGGCAAATGACTGCAACTTTTAAAAAATAATATTCAAGTCCTTTTCAGGTTGGCACATAATGTTAAACCATGACAAGTCATTGTACAAGCTATTTGATGTTTCTATCAGAAGGTGACAGTTGTGTAGTTCATAAGTAAGGGGACAAAATATGCTTCTTCCACACTATTATACTTGCCATCCTATTATGCTTATCCTATATTCACTATTATTGTCTGGTTGTAAAGCAGCAGATTGACTTTAAATTGGTTTTATTGGACCCACCTTCTCAGAGTATGCCTGGGAAAAATCCCAGTGAATTAAATTGTGTGTGTAGGATCTTGGCTTCTGTGCGTCCTTTAATGGTTTAACTTTAGGCCTTAAGTAACATTTAAAAAACACTAAGTTAGGGGTAGTCAACCAATAGTAGTCCTGCCAGAAGTGGGATGGGCAGCCTGTGTGTGTGTGGCACATGGCATATCATGGAGGGAGCAGGAAACACAGCAGTAGATCAGGTAGTGAGCAGAAAGCTGAGCAACAGATCAGGCAGGGAGCAGAAAGTAAAGCAACTGATCGGGCAAGGGGAGGGGATTCAAGAGTGCACTCAGTGAGGGTATATGGCTTACCTTGTGGCATGCCTGCCAGGAAAGATGGCCTCCATTGACTTAAGTAACCCACAAATCAAAATCCCATTGACATTTTATGTGATTTAGTTGCTTCAGTCACTGAACCACTATGTATTTCATGCTTTCTATACTTGAGGCATCTTTTACCATACCTTAATTTAACCCTATTTTTTGGGATCCCACTGTTGCATTTAAGGTTGTCTCGTTATTTTGGATGAATGAGTCCCATGAACAATCTCCATTCTGACATTTGTCTCTTCCTGCTTTTAAATATTATCTTAATATATTTTACTTCTAATATGTTAGTATTTTATAATTTTTTATTGTTATTAATTTTTTATTTTTCTCATTCTTGATGCTGTGTTCATTGACTTCCACTGTCTTTCTTCTTGTACTATGCTTTTAATCTGCTTGATTTTAAAGGGTTGTTCTCTGCTTTTTACATTCTGTTTTATTGTACTTACACTTTCTTCTTATTCTATACAGCAAGGAGTCAAACTCATTTGGCCCCATGGGTCCACTCAAAGATCCATGGGCAGCACTGAGGGCCAAATCATAGGCCCTATCTTTAACACCCTTGCTATACAGCATGTTGGTGGGCTTGCTAATTAAATTAACCATTCTGTTTTCCTGTTCTATCTTTTAGGTATCACTGCTGATTGGATTCATCTGTGTCAATAGCTCAGTGTGGACAGATTACAGTGCCTACAGCTACTTTCAGATTGTCAGCATATGTGACTTGATTATGATTGGTATCTTTTACTTGGTCTACATTTTCCGAGTTTACAAAATGCTTAGCTGCATTAGCTGGCCTCTTGCAGTAAGTGAAGCAGATTTACTTCCCTGCACCTCTTCTCTACCTCATTGTTTGGGTTGCCGTTAAGTGTGTGCACTCTGTCACTTCCTCACTGTCTCTAGTGGGTTATGGAATAGAGAAAATCCCACACAATTTACTGATTCGTTTTGATGCACTGGCTGGGGGAGTAGTTAGCTGATTGCACGATTTCACAAGATTACACACTTAATTCATACAACACAATTTTATTTTAAAACTCTTTGCTACGTATATAACACTGCTTAGCTTTAAGAAACACCACAAACATTAAAAACACAATAATTACATATATCAGAAACAATGCTCCGAATGCACTTCCTTCCCAAACAATGCTATAAGAATTAGTGTTACAAAAACAACTACAATTACAACTAAAAGTTAAATTTGAATCAATACTGTTATTTTTCATAATATACTTACAATCCTAGAATTCCGAGAAGCCAAATACCAAAATATGGTTTCATTCCTCAGTAGTACAATTTAATGGGTTGGCCTCAGTAGTACGGTTCAATAGGCTGGCCTCAGCAATACGATTCAATGAGCTGGGCTCAACAGTGATAGGACTAAGTCCCCTTCCTTCAGCCCCTTTCGGGCGCTCTGCAGCTTCAGCGTGAACTAAGA